CACACACACACGCACGCACACCATGCCCTCTGGCTCAGATTCTGTTACTGCAGAGTAAATGAACTGGTTCAAATGATCAAAACTGGATGTTGGCAGGGTTCCCCACTTCTACAATTTTGCCCAATGCATCTTTAAGCAGAAAATTCATTTTGTCTGTTGAAATTATTTATTTATTCACCTATTCGTCTCTCCCCAAATTACTCATTTGTGAAATAAAACAGCTGTATTAGAAAACTTCTACTAACCACTTGAACATACAATAGCCCCTACATTAACCTTACATGGGTAAGTGTTTTAATTTCCCAATGTCTTACTCTAAGAAGGCACGAAGTAGCACTTATGATACCTAATATTTTTATTCAGAATATTCTAGCTTCATATCTTCACTGCAAGGGTCATGTGAATTAATGACAAAACAAATACAGCTGTTGAAGAAAAAGCACTTTATGGCAAATAGGAGAAAATGAAATGTTATTGGGCATGAGTTAATTGAGATGAATTTACTTATGCATTCTGCAATGAACTTTATTACCTTTAAAAGTTAATCCATCCTTACAGTGAGGAATTAATACCACTAAAGAAAGTAAACACATTATTAAAAAGAAGAGAAGATGGAGTGGACAAATATTCCTTGGAAAGAAATTTTTTAAAGGCTTTCAAGTAATCTTTCTTATTTAGTGGTGGCTTCCAAGTCCCTCTTTTGACTTAGCTTTCTAGAGCTGTAATTTTCAACAGCCTTTCTGATATCTCCATTATATTTTGAACTTTGGGAACATGCTGGAAGGAGGAGTCCTTCTCCAACATTTCTCTGACCAGCCCTGAAGCTAGTTTTTAAATTAAGCACAAGGAGACCTTGCCAACCTTGAATCATCAGTCTCTTCTTTCTGAAGTGTTCTTTCTATGGCTTGGGATTTAATATATTATTCCAATATTGCTCGCCAGAATTAATTTTGGCAGAAGACCATCACTTCCTTGACTAACTCGGTCTCCAATTACCGTATAACACAGTACATTTATGTCTGTAAATGTTCCCAATTAAAATATCAGAGGTATAACCATTCATTTATGGAAATATGATCAATACAAAGCCTACAAGACAGAAAAATTAAAGTTTTAATTGTATATATATACTTAAAAATTAGAATTATTAAATATCTGCAATGTTTATAGAATTTCACTACATGTATTTCTTAACTATAAATTTTAATAACTCAAAACAAACTTAACCAGTGCATCTAGGAAGTTCTTTCAAGCCTGGTCCTAATTAAAGAGAAATAAATTGAGTTAAATAACAGAAAAAGGAATTTTCATTTTCTGTCTTATTATACACTGTTAAGTGAATGTATTAATTAAATATCACAAACATACGAGATAGACACAGAGGCAGAGAAACAAAGAAAAACTGGAACTCAAATTTGCAAGGAAATGTTAGAACCGGTCAGTGAATGTAGACCTGAGGCTCTAACTCGAACGAGTCGGAAGTTAACCACGAACGAGTTCAATCATTTAAACACAAGATGACCAAAATTTTCATATTTCTTGTTATGTTTTACAGGATAATGTACAAGGGAATACAAAAATGACAGACATCAAATGTATGCAGTGCAAGAATCCACGGGCTGCCGTGACACCGGCCCTAGAGACACTCAGGATGGTCGACAGAACAGAGGTGCGGTCCAGCGAAGCTGCTTGAACTGTCAAGTGATTAGGGAGCCACACCAGACCCCAGTCTCCGCAGAGAGGCTGCAGTCTCTTTAATGGCCAGTGATTCCTTTCTCAAGTTATAAGCAATACGCAAGCTCTTTTTAAGAGAAAACATCCTCCATTTCCTTCCCGGATTCCTTCGAACTGAAATCACACGTGGAGAGCTGCCCGTTAATGCGCCCGCGCTGATACAATCAACGAGACTTGGGCTCTGTCAGGGCTTCATGGATTTTAATCGTTAAGCAAAAAATATAAAGTCGTTTAAAAAGAAAGCATACTCTCAGAAATAAGAAAAGCAGTGTCAAAATGAATGCAAGCACATTGGAAAACAGCAAAGTATAACTTTCAGAAGTAAAAAAAATGCCTATAGCTTAAAACATGAGGTTTTATCAACAACAGACAAAGTGGTGATGAAATACTGACTGAACTGGAATATGCGTATGAAGAAATTGCATAGATTGTAGTAGACAGGAAATAGAAAATAATGAAAGAGTGATTGAGAGAAATAGAGGATAAAATATGTAAATTGTACCACAATATTTCTAAATGGTACCCAACATATAGAGAATCCCAAGAAGGGAAAGGTGGACAGATCTGACGCTGTGACCACGCGTATTCATGAACAGATGGATGACCCTGTCATGAAACAAAACAAAGT